CTCCCTGACCAAGAGTCCCTCCCCACCTTTCCTGCAGCCCCCTTTCAGCACTGCAAGGCCGCTGTAAGGTCTCCCCAGAGCCTTCTCTTCTCCAGGCTGAACACCCCAACTCTCTCAGCCTGTCCTCACAGGGGAGGTGCTCCAGCCCCTGATCCTTTTCACAGCCTCCTCTGGACCCGCTCGAGCAGGTCTGAATGCAGCACTGCTGGTGGGGTCTCCCCAGAGTGGAGTAGAGGGGGAGAATCCCCTCCCTCAACCTGCTGGTCACACTTTTCTTGATGCAGCCCAGGATGCGATTGGATTTCTGGGCTGTGAGCACACATTGCTGGCTCATACTCAGTTTTTCATCCACCAGCAGCCCCAAGTCCTTCTCCACAGGGCTGCTCTTGATCCACTCATCGCCCAGCCTGTGTTTGTGCTTGGACAGGTTTAAAAAAATGCACAAGGTTTAAAAACTCCAACTGTACGGTTTTTAACTGCTTGTGTTCCTGCTTAACAAAAATCAAGCCTACTCAGCAAGGCATATGCAAACACATCTTCCAGCCACCTAACACTTTTCAGAATTTTACGGTACAAGTAGAGGTGATCATCAGGTGAAGAAGCGGTGTGTTCATTCTTTGAGACCAAGTATTTTAACTCATAAGAGGCTTATTAATGAGGAAATCGTGATAGTATGTAATGAAGTTCCCAAAAATGGCCATAGATCTTGCACTCATCCAAATTAAGCACCCTGCTTGTATGAATCTTGAAAGCCTCAAGATTTAGGAATTAATGCGTTCACAATGAATGTTCAGTGAGTGAAAATGATGAAAAATCAGAAGTAAAAGAATGCAGACATCTTTAAGACTGCAGCATACACAGCAGCTAAATGTCGGACATAGGCTTGACAAATGGATGGTAGCTATTCAGCTGTAGGTCCTGTAGGCACACAGATGAGTGAGAGAGAAGGGAAAAACAAACAAACAAAACCCCACAAACTATCCATGAGTCTATCTTTGTCCTTAGTAAGATAAGTAGGCTGTCTTGAATCGTGATTACCCACATCAGCCACCAATAAACATAAACATTCACTGTTGACCTTCCTGTCTGATCTCAAATTGTTCTTTCCTACGTGTGATTTAAACATTGCTGGGTTTAATCCACACAGAAAAAGCTTTAAAATTTAAATAAAACACCAATGGAGGTAAGAAAGCAGAGTTTTAATAAAGGGGTGGTAAGGGAGACAGAACTAAGGAAAAAAGTCACCTTTATTTTCCAACTTTAAAACAATTTTAAGAGAAGAGGAAAATATAAATTAAACACAGTTGAGAGACTCGAACATCCTTTTCATTAAACCAAGACAAGTAACAAGTGGTGTTCTTCAAGATGAGTCTTTTCCCATTAGCAACCCACAGGCTTTTACACTAGAAATTAAATACTAAAGCTAGACAGTTGTACGGGAAGCATACTCAAAACCCTACTGGAAAGCAGGTTATAGCTGCACTGGTTTTGGTTGTTTTTTCAGAAGTCACTGGGACATCAAAAGAGCTGCTGTAACAAACAAACAACAGACTCACTCACTATCATTACTTTCAATCTGAAACAAAATTAATACTGCAAAGCTAAAACTGTACCAAAAATTAAACTTAATTCCAGTATAGTATAATGGAGAGCTGCTTTCATAAGAAGTTTCCAAGCAGTATTTAAATCCAAATTTTGAGTCCTAAGGAAAAAAAAAAAAAAACAAACCCCCAAAAACAAAAAAAAAACCCCAAAAAACCAACCAAAAAAAAAAAAAAAAGACTTTATAAAATCCCCAAGATTTAAGTCTTTGGAAAGAGCAGCAAAAGGCTATTTGCAGGACATCACTCAAAAGGATTCTGTTCAGTGACTACAACAGCATTTCCTATAAACCAGTAACTGCTGTATACACAGCTAATGGAAACACACATGTAGTTTTTGCTAAAACCATCTGCAATGCCTGCACTGTACTTCTACTGTTCTAGGACAGTCAAACCTATTATCTAAATCATCTCATAGAATTCAAGTATTTTGATCATAGCAGTTCTTCCCATTCACTTTCAAGACTCAGCATATCCTTGTAGAGCGATGTGTATACATATATATATATATAAAAACCTTCCATCATACATGAAATGATCAGTTTTCGCTCATTCTGTTGTTCACACAGAAAAATGTACGAGTTCTGTAGTCACAAAAGTTGTCAGATTACTTCCTTTAAAACCCTCTGCAACCAACTGTCTTTCTCAGATCTCTCACTTCTGTCAGTACTTCCTGCTAGAGATGATTCTGCATTGCCTTTTGGTTTCTGTAGCCATCTGATATAACAAGGAGAGTCAATATATGTCAGGATGGCTACATTTACATATGCATGCACACACTCCAGCTTTTTGTGCTAGGTAAAGGCAATGAGGAACAAAGCTGTAGAAGAATGTAAGTTTCACCAGAAAGGTTACAACGCACTCTTGAGCACTCTTACACCTGCTGTTAATCTCAGCTCCACCTGCAACAGCATTAAAATTCTTACATGTGGATTTTAAAAACAAGATTTCAAAACAAAACCCACTCTCCTCTTAAAAACACCCTTTCAGAACTCTAGGGCAACTTTTTTTAATAGGTTTCAATTGTGTTTACCTTTCCCTTCTACTACATTTTCTACACTGTCAGTGCATCATTCCCCTTGGGCTCAGTTTCTATTTCATCTTGATTCTTGTTCTCTTGTTTTACTTCTTTAGAGCTCTTCTCCTCAGTTTCTGGTTTTACTACCTTTGAGTTCTGTTCTTCTGTCAGACTTGATGGGGTTGGTTGTGTGTCGTCTTTGTTGCTCTTCACCACCTCCTGTAGATTGTATTTTCTGAACAGAACATAGTCTCTCACCACACTCAAGCAACAGACGTTTTTTATTATTTCCACCACAATTGTATATTGTGGGTTATTAAGATCGACTTTGTTTTCTGGATTGAGGCCGCCCACAATTCCTGTAAAACAAGATGTAGTTTAAAAGATGCTGGAAAAACTGTTTCAGAGCATAAGCACACCCTATTGAAAGGATAGAAGTTGACAAAGAGAAGGCAACATCCCCCTTAGTTGTAACCAATTACTTGCTTTTGTAATTGCTTAAAATACCAGAACAGAGCAGGACTCTTAGAACATACACCACCAGTAGGACTGAAGTAATTTAAAAACTACCCCACTGCAATCACCAAGAAACAAAATACTCCAGTAAGGTAGAGCTTATGAGTCATATATTCAATGGAAATAGTAATACATCATTTCAATGTAGCATCCAGGCAGACAGCCTCATAGCAGTCATTTCAAAGCCCATATAACCAATGCTCCAAATTACATTCAATGCTGTACTCTCTTCTGCTTGTTGTCTCTTAAGACATCAACACCTACAAGAAATACTGATATTGAGCTTTTTTTTAAGTCTTAGAGAAGCTTCTGTAATTCAATATACAGATGTTAAGCCACAAATATGTGTGCTCATTAAGACCATTTTTAATAGTCTGACCTATGTAATGCATGCAGTTGGGGACTTCTTATATACTTGATCTTAGTTTTGTGTGAAATCCATACATACCTGCCAATTCCTTAATTACTTCTTCCCTACTCATATGGCTGTTATTACGAGCTTTGTAAACAATCTGAAAAGTACCCTTATTAGGGGCTTTAAACCAAGGCTCAAAAAACGTTTCCGTGTATTTTTTCATATCCTCCATGAAAGCCTTGCAAGTTCCAGAAATAGGTAGCATGCGCAGAATGACTCTAGTTTTCTTCTTTTTAGTGGCGTGCATATCCTTTAATATATGGTGCACAAGGTTCTCAGGTTCTACAAGAAAAACAGCTAAGTATGAGAAACAAATTGAAGGCATTTTCTCTCTTCTTCCCCACCCCTAAATAGTAAGCTGGGGAAATGCACACTTGGCTACGCTGCTGTCAGCTTCTCTTTCTGTAAAGAGCCATTTTACTATACCAAAACTGGATAATCAGAGATTCTTTTGTCAAAGCAGATTCCTCTACGGTTTGTGACTCGCTAATGACAAAATTCAGTGGCAATACCAAAGGGAAGGGGAAACCCTGTATCTGTTTGGTATACATGAGTTTCTTGGAAGTCACGCTCTGGCCTGTTACTAGCACTGTTCAGAGCAGTTGATCCCCACAGCCTCAGCTGATGTCCCACCTATGCCCTGCGTTCTGATGAAGACCACGTTGTTGGCCCCACTCTCCACTGACTGGAACCGCCGCAGCTTCTGCTCCGTCGAGGCACGGATCTGACCGACCTCCTTCTTCAGGGCAGCCTCAACATCGTCCTCATCCTCTTCCCTCTCACTTCCAGACAGCCGCTCCTCATGATCTGAAAACTTCACACAAAGCATGTCTCTTATTTGGTGAGTACTGAGCAACAGTGCCCGCAACTTAGAGACCGCCAGCAAGGCACCACCGCGCCAGGGGCCCGGCGTTTGCTTACAGAAACCGGCACCTTCGTGTGTGTGTCGTGAACAGGAACAGGGGGTTTTACACACAGAAAAGGAGGGGAGGCCTCAGGGCGCTGCTCCCCCAGCCCCGCGGCCGTTCGCGCTGCCAG